ATCAGGCACCAGGAGTGTACTGCATCACCCAGAGCCCATCCTCACACTGGGACATCCAGGGACTTGCAATTCCAGCTGACCAGAAGATGCCTGTCAGAGGGCCGAGTGAACACTTACTCCAGGTCAATGCGTATGCCACAAAATCTAGGTCAGCCATGCAAAAAGAGGTTGCTCCAGGGATTAAGGGAGTTGCTGAGGAAAGATAAAAGTCAGTATATAAGGATTACCACAGGTTTAGGTGTTTGGACTCTAAGTCCTAGGAATGTGTCTTGGCCTCTTCGTGACTTACAGGCCCAATATCCAGAATGAAGGGCCCAATAGCATCGCCCAACCCATGACTCTTAGAGATGGGCATCTTTCCATAACAGAACACTTCCAGCACCATTCATGAAGTAGGAAGAAACGGCATATCCCAAACCTGGGAAATGAGAGTCATTTCTTTATATTTACTTAATAAGTACTTAAATAGAGCTTGCTAAGTACCGGGCATTGTTCTAAGCACTTTACAAATATTAACCTATTTAATCTCCAGAACAATCTAATAGTTGGTAAGATCTCTTTCCTGATTTTACAGACAAGGAAACTGAAAAAGAGATAAGTTGAGCAACTGTGTGAGGTCACATAGGTAGTAAATGATGGAGCCAAAAATTACACTCAAACAGTATGACTCCATGTTGTTGTTGTTGTTATGTGCTGTGAGTCGGACCCGACTCATAGCGACCCCTCCTTGGGTTTCCCAGGCAGTATAATTACGGAAGTAGATTGCCCCATCTTCCTTCCGAGGAGGACTCCATAGTCCATCCTAAAATGAGTTTGGTGAGCTTTGGTGGCATAGTGTCTTAGGCACTTGACTGCCAACCAGAAGGTTGATGGTTCAAACCCACCAGCCACTCCTTGGAAGGAAGATTGGGCAATCTACTTCTGTAGAGAAACTGCCTCGAAAACTCAAAAAGGGGTCGTTATGAGTCAGAGACAACTGACAGCACATGACACAGCAACCAAAAAAACAAACCTGTTGCTGTCAATTCATTTCTGATTCTTAGTGACCACACACGACAGAGAAGAATTGCCCCATAGGATTTCCTGGGCTGTAATTATTACAGAGGCAGATTGTCCCATCTTTCTCCTGTGGGGCTGCTGGTAGCTTCAAACTGCCCACCTTTCTGTGACCAGCCCAGTGCTTAACCATTGCACCACCAGGGACCCTCTGGTGTATTACCTCGAGGGAACTGCTGGGTCATAGATACACGTGTCCATAGTTTAAACAGGCAGTGCCGCATTGCTCCCTAATCACACCACCTGCCAGAACTTACCCAGCTTTACACTTTATGCTGGGGGTATAGGTCCTTGATTCTACCTGGAAAACACCCGAGGAACTTTTCCATAAAACCAATGCCAAGCCCCACCTAGGACGATTGGATGCAAATCTCTCAGGATAGGGGTTGGTGTTATTTTGCTTGCCTGCTTTATTTTATTCTTTTAATTGTTCTGGGTGATTCTAATGCACAATAGGGTTAAGCACTGCCGGTGTGAAGGGTTACCTCACTGTGGTTTTAATGTGCTTCTTATCTGACATCTCATGATTTTGTATCTCTCTTCATATGCTTGTTAACTTTAGAAATTTCTTCTAACTGTAAAATGATGATCAGTATAGCCTGGTAGAGAAAAGTTCAAGTAGGCTGAGAGACCTGTGACAATATGAGGAAGGGAAATATCTGCCCCCATTAGCCTCACAATGGTGGGATTAGGGCATCTATCTTACTGTCTGAGGTGTTAGTCTTCAGAAGTCCTCTCTAGAAGCTACCTTCTCCTTGCCCAGGTGCTATTTCCTAAGTCACTACACAGCCACTGCAGTATTAGAGTGAAGGCCAAGACAAAAACCTAGGCAGAGTGATCCCCGACTCTCTGTGCTCTTAGATGGCACTCTTCCAGCCAGCAGTCTGCCCTCCCTGATGACTGATGAGTGATTGATCCATGCCAGCCTCTGGGAATTGTGCCTTAAAGCTGTTAAAGTGAGAGCCCTTCTGTCATCACACACTGGCAGCCACTGAGAGACAGTTACCATCCCTGCCCCGGCATGCTAGAGTCCTGTACGTAGCTGCCAGGCCAGCTTTGTAGCAAGACCTCTGTGGCTGCTGGCACAGGCAAGACTCCCACCTTTATCCAGGTTGCCCAGAAGCTCAGCCTCATGGTTTATCTTGCTGGGGTTTGGAAAGTTCACAACATCTGGGGCTGGTTCGGAGTCATGTGCAAAGATTCAGACTCAGTGCAGATTCCTAATGCTGCTTGCAGGCCGTGCAGGTTAAGATGGAGTCACTCCCTGGTCCACCTGCGCTCCAGTCAGCTGTGCTGAGGGCTGTAGTCCATCACCACCAGGAAACTACAAGCATCTGCAGTCATGTTTGAGACCTCTCACAAAAGGGGACGAAAGTCTAGGCTGCAAAATTTTGAAACTACAATATAAAAAATCAATACATTAATATTTGCTACGATTAGACTCATGTAATTAGATGGCAATTAAAGTTGGTGTGGGGTTTGGTCGCTTGTTGTATGAGAACTCCAGGAGCAAGGCTACTGCTGGTCTATGAAGATCTTAAAATGGCCCCAGGAAACCTATCTGCAGTGAACCTAAGAGGGATCAAAGTGACAAACTTCCCAGGTTTCTCTGTCTTTGGCATTCCACTTCTCCCACGGAGTGGCTGGTGGGTTTGAACTGCCAACATTCTGGTTAGCAGTTGAGTGCTTAACTGCGATACCATCAGGGCTCCTTCAGTCTCTCTTTACTTGCTCTTAATTTCTTCAAACCTGAGCTAATAGATGTGTTGTTGTTTGTTGTTATGTGCCATTGAGTCGGACCCAACTCATAGCGACTCCTCCTTGGGTTTCCCAGGCAGCATCACTACGGAAGTAGATTGCCCAACCTTCCTTCTGAGGAGTGGCTGGTGGGTTTGAACCGCCAGCCTTCTGGTTAGCAGTCAAGTGCCTTAGGCACTATGCTACCAGAGCTAATAGATAGGGGCTCTTAAAGGAACCAAAGACCAAACAGACTTGAGTTAAGCTATGAGTCTAGTGGGAAACGCTTTTCTCAACTCTCTATAACAGCTTACTGGGGTGTTAGCTGCCCTGCCAGAACCTCATTGACTACTGAGAGCACTGCAAACATTCAGGCAACAACTTTTTGGTTCTTTCATTTCCAGTTTGCATTTTGATAAAAATTCTCCTACCTATTCCTCTACAGAAATTGCTAAATTTTGAATAATATGAATTCAAAAGTGATATTTTACATTAATTCATTCCACCAACTAACATTCCATAAATATGACTAAGTGCCTTTGGTGAAATAGTTACTATGTCAAGTACTGGCATTTTATAGGTAATTATATTACACCCAAGCTAAATGTATAAATATAAATATGTATTAGTTTATATGTTAGTTTAAAATAGAAATCAAGAGAATTTCCTTACAGAACAAGGAAGACAGTGAAAATCATACCACCTGTAATTCCATGGTTGACAATTCTGAGTGAATAAGAGTCCATGGTTGTGAATTAATGCTTTTAAAATTGATAAAGCCTTCCATGCTATTCTGGAAAGAACTTAGCTACCATGAGCAGATCTGGTGACTTGGGCTCAGGGAAAACTTCCAGAAAGAAGAAACAAAGTAGCTGAATGCATTAGTACAACAGAGGAGAGAGGTCTTCCCTAAGAAAGAAGTCTGGGTGATTAAAATTAAAGTGGCCTCAAAAGACCTTGCACCTTATGAACTCAATACCTTCACATGAGCATGTTCTAAGCAAGTGCTTCCTACTTCGCAGGGAACAAATGAAGTCATAAATATTGGAGCTGTCATTAAAGAAGCCGGTTAGCATAGGTGCTGTGTGACTTCCAGACCTCTGCCTTCCATAGGGGCGCATCAAGTGCTTGGTAGTCAACCCATGCTCACTGTTCCTCTCACTAGGATACCTGCCCTTCCTCTTTCTCTCAAAACTACTTCCACATCCATGCTCACAGGCCAGCCTCAAGTTCAGACCCCCTCCGTGAAGCCTCCCCAGAACAGTTCTGCTCTCAGTAATCTCCCTGTGTTACTGCAGTTCATATTATAAAATGCATCATTTCATTCTTGGAGAATCCTTTGTTCTTTTTACATTGGCTATTGTATCTAATTATACTTACTGAAGGTGTGCTCTCTCATTAGCTTATAAATGCATTGAAGATAAGACTAAACCTCTGCTATTGACTTGACTGTGACTCAAAGCAACCTGTAGGACAGAGGACAACTGCCCCACAGGGTTTCCAAGGCTGTGATCTTTACGAAAGCAGACTGCCACATCTTTCTCCCATACAGCATCTGATGGGTTCAAACCACCAACCTCTTGATTAGCAGCCAAGAACTTTAACCACTGTGCCACCAGGGTTCCTTGAGGATAAGACTAAGATTTACAAAATCATAAAACATAGACTATACCCTCAGTAACAACAACTTTGGTTGTCCGATAGACCGCGATTTACTATCTGCATGTTCTGAATACAATTTATACTATAAAATCCAGAGCTACCCATCACATAGTGATACTTCAACACAACACTGATAATAACTCCAAAAAAACAAACTCACTGCCATGGAGTCAATTCCAACTCATAGTGACCCCATAGGGTTTCCAAGGCTATAAATCTTTACAGAAGCTGACTGCCTCATCTTTCTCCTACAGAGCAGCTAGTGGGTTTGAACCACTGACATTTTGGTCAGCAGCCAAATGCCTTAACTACCACCAGAGCTCCTTAACATTGATAATAGAAGAATGTAATTAAAAATGAATTAATGGGCTTGTGCAAGATGACGCAGTGGTTTTGTAACTCAGAACTAAATTATCAGACTTACCTTGAATGTAGATTCTTACATGTTCTGTCTTCTGCCCCACTTCTCTGGTTTCCCTTCTGTCCCTTAAATTGTCCAGAGTGTAATAAACAACAAGGAGAACATCTTACTTACTTTTCATTACCTTTTTCCAGTGATTTTCTGGATGACAGATTCAGGCAGGCCTTCCACTGTGATCCACTTGTGAGGGCTAATGCTGTCAGAAAGTCTGGAGACCTTCGGGAACAAATTTAGTCACCGTCCTCAGCGAGACACCAACCAACCAAGAGGTCCTGGATCCTAGCAGTTCAGAGCACAGACACATGCCCTTCATCTGATGTTCTCCTAAACATATGAGAAATGTGGGTTCTATTCCATTAAGACATTTCCTCTTCGTCTTCTCCATTACCAGCAAGGCTTTGCCTGATACTACAACTCTGGATTGCTTCTTACTAAAGAGAAACAAAACTTTTTACTGGAGACTCTTTTCATTTCCTATTTGTATGCTCTTTGTTTCATTGCCAAGTTCCTTCTGAGATGAAATTCTGAAGGCTTTTTTCAGAAGTCTGAAGTTATGGCTGATACTGGCTTTTATAACGATAATGCTTTTTTGGCATAACCTTTACACAAATCACAGAATCACACATACTGAAAATGGAAGGTGGGCAGGGGATAGCCCCCAGGCAGCAGGATCAGCAGTCAGAACAGGTAAGGCAGGCAGGGACAGCCCCCAGGCAGCAGGGAGCAGCGGCAGACAGGGCCAGCAGGAACAGGTAGTGGGTAACCCAGGAGATGAGCGGAGTGGTTGGAACAGTTAAGGGAGACAAACGTGTGTGTTGGTTTGTCATACTGTGGTGGCTTGCATGTTGCTGTGAGGCTGGAGGCTATGCCAGCAGAGGTGCCCATGGTGGACTGGGTTCAGTGGAGCTTCCAGACTGAGACAGACTCAGAAGATGGAAGAGGCCATTCACTTCTTAAAGAATTGGCCAGTGAAAACTTTATGAATAGTAGTGAAACACTGTCTGATATATTACTGGAAAATTTTGTGAATAGCCCTGAAACAGTCTGATACAGTGCCGGAGGACAAGCCCCTCAAGTCAGAAGTCACTCAAAATATGACTGGGAAAGAGCTGCCTCATCAGAATAGAGCCTACCTTAATGATATGGATAAAGTAGAGCTTTCGGAGCCTCCATTTGCTGAAGTGGCATGACTTAATACAAGAAGAAACAGTTGCAAACATCCATTGATAACTGGAACTTGGAATGTATGAAGTATGACTCTAGGAAAATTAGAACTTGTCAAAAATAAAATGAAACCCATAAAGACTGATATCCTCAGCATTAGTGAGCTGAAATAAACTTGTTTTGGTCATTTTGAATCAGATAACCATATGTATACTATGCCGGGAATGGCAAATTGAAGGGAATGACATGACATTTATCATCACGAAGAATGTTTCAAGATCTATACTGAAGTGCAATGCTGTCAGTGATAGAATAATAGCCATACACCTCTGGTGGTATAGTGCCTGAGGCATTTGACTGCTAACCTGAAGGCTGGTGGTTCAAACCCACCAGCCACTCCCTGGAAGGAAGGTTGGGTCATCTACTTCCATAGTGATACCACCACAGAAACCCAAGGAGGGGTTGCTGTGAGTCGGATCTGACTCCCAGGCAGAGGTTGCGTTGCATTGTGTTACAAGAAAAGCCAGTTAATACTACTATTATTCAAATTTACACACCAACCACCAAAGCCAAAGATGAGGAAATTGAATATTTTTACCAACTTCTGGAGTCTGAAATTGACAGCAATCAAGATGTATTGATTATCACTGGTGACTGGAATGCAAAAGTTGGAAACGAAGAATCACCAGAAGTTGGAAAATTTGGCCTTGGAGATAGAAATAATGCTGGAGATCGTATGATAGAATTTTGCAAGAGCAACAACTTATTCATTGCAAATACCTTTTTTCAACAACATAAACAGTGTCTATGCATGTGGACTTCACCAGATGGAGTACACAGAAATCAGATTGATTACATCTGTGGCAAGAGGTCATGGAGAAGCTCATTATCTTCAGCTAAAACAAGGCCAGGAGCTGATTGGGGAACAGACTAATAACCGTTCATATGCAATTTCAAGTTGAAGTTGAAGACAAATAAAAGAAGTCCACAAGAGCCAAAATATGGCTTTGGTTACATCCCTCCTGAATTTAGAGACCATTTAAAGAATAGATTTGATGCATTGAACACCAATGATTGAAAACAAGACGAATTGTGGTATGACATCAAGAACATTATCCATGAAGAGAGCAAAAAGTCATTAAAAAGACAGGAAAGGAAGAAAGACCAAAATGGATGTCAGAAGAGACTCTGAAACTTGCCTTTGAGTGGAGAGTAGCTAAAGCAAATGGAAGAAATGATAAGATAAAAGAACTAAATAGAAGATTTCAAAGAGCAGCTCAAGAAGACAAAGTCAATTATTATAATGAAGTGTGCAAAGACATGGGGTTGGAAAGCCAAAGGGGAAGAACATGCTCAGCATTTCTCAAGCTGAAAGAACTGAGGAGGAAATTTAAGCCTCAAGTTGCAATTTTGAAAAATTCTATGGGCAATATATTGAAGTTGCAGGAAACAACAAAAGAAGATGGAAGGAATACACAGAGTCTCTGTATCAAAAAGAATTTGTCGATGTTCATCCATTTCAGGAGGTGGCATATGATCAAGAACCAATGGTATTGAAGGAAAAAGTCGAACCTGCACTGAGGGTAGTGGTGATAAACAAGGCTCCAGGAATTGACGGGATACCCATTGAGATGTTTCAACAAATGGATACTGCACTAGAGGCACTCACTTGATTATGTTGAGAGATTTGGCAGACAACTACCTGGCCAACTGACTGGAAGAGATCCATATTTATACCCATTCCAAAGAAAAGTGATCCCACAAAATGTGGAAATTATCAAACAACACCATTAATATCATACACAAGTAAAATCTTACTGAAGAAAATTCAAAAACAGTTGCAGCGGTAATTGACAGAGAACTTCCAGAAATGGAAGCTGGATTCAGAAGAGGACATGGAATGAGGGATATCATTGCTGATGTCAGATGGATCTTGGCTCAAAGCAAAGAATACCAGAAAGATGTTTACTTGTGTTTTATTGACTATGCAAAGGCATTTGATTGTGTGGATCATAACAAATTATGGATAATATTGAGAAGAATTGGAATTCCAGAACACTTAATTGTGTTCATGAGGAACTTATACATAGACTATAGGCTGTCATTCAAACAGAACAAGGGGACACTGCATAGTTTAAAATCAATAAGGGAGTGTGTCAGGGCTGTATCCTTATTCCATACTTATTCAATCTGTTTGCTGAACAAATAATCTGAGAAGATGGACTACATGAAGAAGTACGTGGCATCAGGATTGGTAGAAGACTCATTAATAACCTTTGTTACGCAGATGACACATCTTTGCTTGCTGAAAGTGAGGATGACTTGAAACATTTACTGATGAACATTGAAGACTACAGTCTGCAGTATGAATTACACCTCAATATAAAGAAAACAGGGAGTTCTGGTAGCTTAGTGCCTAAGGCACTTGACTGCTAACCAGGAAGCTGGCAGTTCAAACCCACCAGCCATTCCTTGGAAGGAAGGTTGGGCAATCTACTTCTGTAGTGATACTGCCTCGGAAACCCAAGGAGGGGTCTCTATGAGTTGGGTCCAACTCTACAGCACATACCAACAACAACAACAATAAAGAAAACAAAAATCCTCACAACGGGACCAATAAGCACCATCATGATAAATGGAGAAAAGATTGAAGTTGTCAAGGACTTCATATTACTTGGTTCTACAATCAACACCAATGGAAGCAGTGTACTAGATACTAGACACTGTATAGCATTGGGAAAATCTGCTGCAAAGGACCTCTTTCAAGTGATGAAGAGCAAAGACATTTCCTTGAAGACTAGGGTGCACTTGACACAAGCATGTATTTTCAATCACCTTCTATGCATGTGAGAGCTGGACAATGAAGAAGGAAGAGTGAAGAAGAGTCAATGCTTTTGAGTTGTGGTGTTGGCAAAGAATGCTAAAAGTACCATGGACTGCTAAAAGAACTAACAAATCCGGCCTGGAAGAAGTGCAGCCGGAATGCTCCTTGGAAGCGAGAATGGCCAGACTTTGTCTCACATACTTGTCACGTTGTAAGAAGGGACCATTCCCTGGAGAAGGATATCATTCTTGACAAAGTGAAGGGACAATGAAAAAGGGGAAGGCCCTCAACAAGATGGATTGACACAGTGGCTGCAATGATGGGCTCAGATATAGCGAAGATTGTAGGGCTGCCACAGGACCAGGCAGTGTTTTGTTCTGCTGTGCATGAGTTCGCTGTGAGTCGGAGCAACTCGATGGCACCTAACAACAACAACAACAAAGGTGGAAGGGACTTAAAGTCAATCTTTTGGGTGGGTAGTCTCATAAGCCAGCAACTTTTTTGGTGTCTCCATAAAGGAATTAAACTTCTTGACTTCCCACCTTAGTAATAAACAACTTTGCATGAAGAACTGAGATTTTTTAACAGCTTAATTTCATTGATTCCTTAGGAACTGAATACTTTAAGTCCTTCTCAATCTGTTGTCAACATCTATTAGTTGCCACAGGTTCAAACATCTCTGCTCTTTCATTACAAAGGATAGGCATGTATCACTTAAATCCATTTAGGCAATGTCAGACTGCACATACATCTCTGGTATCATAAGGTTTTTTTGTTTGTTACTTTTTAAGGGAAATCATCTGTCCTTTTGTTGTTACTTCCCCCTAATGGTTTTAAAGACCCTAGGCCCAGACTCTTGCAGCACTGGACCACGGGTGGGATACAGGCAGGTGAAGCAGTGGTCAAGGCTCTGGTTGCCCGCTCTCAGGCTGTCTAGTGGGCAGGCGGACAGCAGCAGCTCAGGCTGCCCCTGCTCTGGCAGCGGAGCAAAGGCATGTCTGGACCCTGCTGCACTCAGCCACCATGCTGTCACTGTCCCTCCCTCTGGCCTCCACCAGCAGCTCCAGCAATGCCAGCAACAGCAGCAGCAAAGAGGACAACCAACAGTGGGCTTCCGTAAGTTTTTAATATGGAGTTTGCACAACGTCCAAATCACGTTAAATTATTCTCTCCTGTTCTCTTTTTATATCGTTATTGTTGTTAGTTTCCATTGAGTTGGTTCCAATTC